TTTATAGCAGTGTCAGGATGACATTGACTTGCGTTTAATTCCATGGCAGTATTGTAAAAAAAAATTTTTTTGTAAAAGGTAATCTTCATATGGTTTTAAAATATACCTGTATCTGCATATATACATAAACACATGTGTGTATATACAAATATGCATGCATTGAAAAGTCTCCCTCTCCTTCCTTACCTTAGGTAACTGTTGTTAATGGGTGTGTGTATGTATTCGTGTTTCCTTTATGCATACGCAAGCATATATTCATATTTTTATCTGTCCCCCTGCGGTTGGTTTTATATATTTGCTTTTTTTTACTTAATCTGATATTTTGGAGATCTTTCCATATCAGTTCACAGGGGACGACATTCTTTGTTGTATACTAAATTACCATAGGAATTTTTTTGTTGCTATTTCCTTTTTTTTTTTTTTGGTCTACTTAAGTAGTTTTAGTTTTAGTACTTAAGTAGTTTTAGTATTTTTTCTTGTTTTAATTTTTTTTCTCTTAAGTAAAATTTTCACATTGAGGAATATACAAATCATAAGTGTTCGGTTTGCTTTGATAAGTGCATAAATCAGTTTAACAAGGTAGGAGCATTCGGCGTCCACTTCCCTCATACTCATTCCTAGCCCCAGAGGCAACCACCAAGCTTTTCCACTTGCATTTGTGTTTTGACCCTTATGGGAGCTTTGGTAGCGTTAGTGCCTGGGGCACTTGACTGCTAACCAGAAGGCTGGTGGTGCATATCTACCAGCCACTCCTCGGAAGGAAGGTTGGGCAATCTACTTCCGTAGTGATACTGCCTCAGAAACCCAAGGAGGGGTCACTATGAGTCGGGTCCAACTGGACAAGTGGACAGCATATAACACAAAAGCAGGAATGCATGTAAATGAAATGACTCAGCATCTAGTTTTTCGTGGTTAACTTCTCTTGGTAAACACAGTGTCTCTGAGATTGATCCAGGTATTTGTGTTTACCTGTAGTTCCCCTTTTTCAAGATTGTTTTGAATATTCAAGATCCTTTGCATTTTTATATATATTTTAGATCAGCTGGTCAGTTGCTATAAAAATAGCTTGCTGAAGTTATGATTGTGACATACGAAAAAAAGCAAATGAGGGAAAATTGACACTTAACATTTTTTTGAGTCTTCTAATCTATGAATATAGTATATGTCTCTATATTTTATGTTACTTAATATCTTCCAGCAAGGTTTTTAGTTATCATTGTACAGGTCTCCCATATCTTATGTTAAACTTCTTTTCTGAATATATGTCTTTACTTTTTCTTGCCTTATTACACTGGCTGGGACCATCAGTACAGTAAGACCACTAATTTTAACTCTTCCTTTCTAATATAAACATTTAAGATGTAAATTTCCCCGTAAGCACTCTTTTAGTGTCATCCAGCACTTTTTTTTTCAATGTTGTAGATTATCATTTAAAGTATTTTCTCATTTATTTTGTGTTTTCTTTTTTGACCTATGGGTTTTTAGAAGTGTATCATTAATTTCCACATATTTGCACTTTTCTGTATATCTTACTGTTTGTTACTGATTTCTAATCTAATTCCATTGTGAGAATTAAGAGAACATAATCTGTAAGGTTTCAAAATTTGAAAATTCAGTTTTTTTTATGGCCTCCATGTAGTCTGTTTTGTTTTGTTTTTGAATAATCCATGTGTGCTTGAAGAAGATTCTATAAATTTAACTAGGTGAAGGTAGTTGACAGTATTATGCAGTATTTTCTAAGACCAAAGAAGAATTGATGCCTTTGAATTATGGTATTGAAGAATACTGAAAGTACCGTGGCCTGCCGGAAGAACAAGAAAATCTGTCCTGGAAGGAGTACAACTGGAACACTTCTTAGAAGTGAGGCCAGACTCTGTCTCACCTCCTCTGGTCATGTTGTCAGAAGGGACTATTCCCTGGAGAAAGGATATCATGCTTGGTAAAGTGGAGGGTCAAAGGAAAAGGGAAAGACCCTCAGTGAGATGGCTTGATCCACTGGATGCAGTGATGGGCTCAAGCATGGCAGTGATTCTGAAGGCGGCCCAGGAGCAGGCAGGGTTCTGGACCCCTGAGCAGAGAGTCACCGGAGTCAGAATCACCTCATCGGCACCTGACGTCAGCTTCGCTCTCTAGTGCTGCTGTGACAGAAAGACCGCACAGCGAAGGCTTTAACGGAAATTTGTTCTCTCACAGCTTAGGAGGCTAGAAGTCCAGATTCAGAGTGCCAGCTCTAAGGGAACACTTCTCTCTCCTTCAGCTCTGGGGGAAGGTCCTTGTCTCCTTTTGGCATCTGTAGGCTTGGCATCTCTTGGAGATTTCCATAAGTCTTGGCGTCAGTCTTCCTGTAGGTCTGGGAGGTTCCCAGTGCAGAGACCCTGGGTCCAAAGGATGTGCTTCGCTCCCAGCTCTTCCTTCTTGGTGGCCGTAGGTCCCTCTGCTGATTTTATCGCTTATATTTCAGAAGAGATTGACTTGATATACAACCTAATCATATAGATTGAATCCTGCCTAATTAACGTAAGTGCCACTAATCCTGCATCGGTAACATCATAGAAGTTAGGATATACAACCCATAGAAAAATTACATCAGATCACAAAACGGAGGATAATTATATAATTCCATAATACTGAGAATCATGACCTAGTCAAGTTGTTAAATATTTTGGGACTAGACATTTCGAGCCAATTTGTCCAAGCAAAAGTAACTGTCAAGCAGTTTACTCAGATTACTGTGATTTCCAGTATGTTCATTTTTTCCCTTAAAGTCTGTATTACTTCTGAGATTATCTGTGTCTTTATATTTAAAGTACATATTTGATAGACATTTTTCATCTTGTATTCATACTGACAAATCTCTGCCTTTGAATTGGAGTGTTTGATATATTTATGTTTATAGTATAATTTTGTGAGAGAACTATTGATGCATAAGAGAATGAGGCTTAAATAAAGGTGACTAATGACGGCAGTTGGACGGTGTCTGAAGGAGGGTTGAAATCCAGTTCTGTCTGCCTCTAGGTTGAGTACATGTTCTTAATGACTACTGTTTATTCTTCTTTGACCCCTTTCCAAGCTTGAGTAAAAACTTCAGCTCTCCATGCCCCTCTGTAGAGTCTGGATTTTACGTTAGTCCTAAAGTTGCCTGAGTGAAATGTTCTTACTTGTGTCATAAAAGCAGAACAGCCTCTTGATCTATATTTTTATTAATTATTTTCTTTGAATTATTTTCAAAGAAAGAAGAGTCAATTGTATTCTGTCTTTCTAAGGTTTAAATTCAGGGTCATGAGACTCACAATTTAGTTCTATGTTGTCTTGTAGTTGTGACATAAGCAACTTGGTGCTGTGTGTTTCTAGTAGATAGCTGATAAATATTTTGTAAATAAAGGAACCATTTATTGTCATGATTTTTTTTGGTAGTATATATTTGAGAAAAAGGTCTAAATTATCTTCCAGTTTCTTGACTCCTTCTGACTTTTATAGTCTGGTAAGTGAAAGATGAGCTCCCGTAGCCTAAAAAGCAAGATAACCTGCAAAATATCTCAAGAAGGTACTAGAAAGTTTCTGAACAGCCTTTGTTTTTAAAAACTCTCCAGCATTTAGTTACTGTAGCACCTAAAGCAAGGCACACACTTTCCTTGCAGGAGGCCTTGCAGAAGCACCTGTATCAGTGAAGTTGGCTTAACTGTCGCGCAGCCACTGCACTTTCCACCATTGTTCTTTGAAATGTGGGTTCCATTAGATCACTAAGGCGCTCTGGTGGTGTAGTGGTTAAGTCATTTGGCTGCTAACCAGAAGGTTGGTGGTTTGAACCCACTATCCACTCTGTGGAAGAAAGATGAAATCTATAAAGATTTACAGCCTTGAAAACCCAGTGGGGGTCACTATGAGTTGGAATCGACTCAATGGCAGTGAGTTTGGTTTTGGTTTGAGTTAAATCCCTAGCAGTATGTACATTTGAAATTTAATCAATTGTTTGCTTTTATTTTCAGAACTTTTTTTTTTTTTTTGAAATTTTCCCTTTCTCTCTTGAAATTTTGATGATCTTAGAATATCAGAGAAATGGAATGGACTTTCCAAAATTACCTTTTAAGTATTAAAAAATGAAAATGTACAACCTATGACCTGAAAGACTTTGGCAGTCAGAAGTCTTATTCCAGGCAGCCTTTTAAATTATTGGTTCCTTCTCCCATAGATCAGATGTTACTTTGAAATAATGAATGATGTAGTTGCAGGGAAAATAGGGAGGAAGACTTACTCTCCGGGCCGCCCGTGGTCAGGAAGGAAATGTGGGAGACAAATTGTGAAGTCTTTCTCATCTCTTTGTTTTTCAAGTGTTACTGATTTTTCCCCCCCCAAACCTCATTTTTCATATTCTTTTGGGAAGTTAGCACTTTTACTTATTTTGTTTAACCTTCATGGCAATTCTTAAAACCTTTTAAGATGATTTACTATTTAGAATGACTTCAAAATCTGCTTTATTATCCTTTCAGTGATAAAGAATGATGATTTCAGATTTGATTGAGTATATAAGTAACTCAACCAAATAACCTGAAACTCCTATATATCTATCTAAAATTGGTTTTTTAAAATATTAAACATAACAGTTCATACTCGGTTTAAAATTAGATAAGTTTTTTAATATAAAACTGGATTATAAAATGAAGCACTATTAGTCTGTCTAATGGCCTAGGTATGAGATCTTTCATTTTGAATAGAGGATATCGGAAAGGGCATTAAAGCTATGATTTCATTAAGCCAGAGAGCATTGGTATTCACATTGTAAAAACATAATCATAACTTACTTAGAGTCACATGTTCCATTTTATGGCTTCCTTCATATAGAAAATATAGTAACCACCACGAAATGCCTGTGAAAAGTGAACCAGTGTATATTTTCTGGGTGAAGGAAGTGTTCTGTACATTTTCCATGTTTACATCATGGTATTTTGAATAACCATGCTTCCATGTTCACATCAATTTTTTGTTTTTCAATTTATGCACAGCACTTGCTCTGAAATTTGGGGACTGAGTACACCAAATACGATAGATCAGTGGGATACAACAGGCCTTTACAGCTTCTCTGAACAAACCAGGTGAATATTCTGCCCTCTGTCGAATCCTAGCCATCTTGCGGGAGGCGGGTGTTGGAGGACCTGTAGTGGGTTGCTTAGTGTAATTTTTGCCTCGGATGTTTCCTTTATGTAAAACATGGCATAGCATTTAAAATGTTTGCTTGCCAGTATTAAGACTATATTAAATGTTTCAGCTGATGTTTTGATCATAGAAATTCTTTCTGATTCTTTAAACCGTTGCATCCCCTAAAGACCAGGGACGTTGGTAACAATATACTCAGTTGGAGATTAGATTATAATCCCTTGTTGGCCTAATTTTTAAGTAGTTAACATATCCAGTTCGCTCTAAATTTCTTGCTATCATCTAAATCTCATCTTCTTTATACTAATAAATACTTAAGAGTTATTCACTGAACCCCTTATATCACAATTAATGCGAGGCTAATTTCTTGTTATGTTATCTTTTTTTTTTAAATCACCTTACTCTCTTTTTGGAGCATATTTGGTATTTGTCCATTTCATCTCATCATTTTCATCACCATCTGCATTTACGTGTGAGCTGTATAAATAGACCTCAGTACGCAGAGCAGTCACAACTGGGTAATGAGTTATGTTAGACTGAGTCAGTTACTATCACGTCATTGTTAGTACTTACCATTCTTTACATTAGTTCCTTTTTTTGATAATTCAGCCACCTGCAGAATTAATGCCCATAAAAGTATCCCTGGATAAGAGTTTGATTCACTGAAATAGAAGTGACAAAAGTTTTTCAAGTCTACTGTATATTACTCTCAAAACCAGTTTTTTTCCCCCAGTGGTTAGCTGTTCATTGACATTGAGTCATTTATGTAGCATATTTATGAGAAACTTGTGCTAGTACTATTGCTTTTTTTTTTAAGTATCAGATCCATTAAATAGTATACATTTTTCTTCCTTATTTTCACTAAAACTAACTAAATGTCTGTCATTTCTTTCTTTATGCTTTTAATGTACTAGCCCATTTGACAACATCGTTTTTTGTTTTTTTTTTTTTTAAAGTTCCCTCCTTTCTTTTCCCCTTGCTTCTCCTAGGTCTCTTGATGGTCGCCTTCAGGTATCACATCGAAAAGGATTGCCACATGTTATATATTGCCGGTTGTGGCGCTGGCCAGATCTTCACAGTCATCATGAACTCAAAGCAATTGAAAACTGCGAATATGCTTTTAATCTTAAAAAGGATGAAGTATGTGTAAACCCTTACCACTATCAGAGAGTTGAGACACCAGGTAGGGGACTTGTGATTTTCCTTCCTTGCTTTAAATTAAATGGTTGAATTTAAGTATATCTAAGTACTCTTGGGACTTAGAGAAATTCTACTGTAAAATTCTAATAGATCACCTGAAAATCATTATATATTACTTGGCGGTAATTGAAACTACCAATTTTTAAAAAAATTTTATTTTTTGTGTGTGTAGAAAAACAGATAATGATATGTCTGTTTCTTAGGTGAGTGTACTAGTATACAAATGCAGGAAATACCAGCCCCGTAGCTCTGCAGTGTGCTTAGAAGTAAACTTAGGTTCCTTTGTACTACTTTGATGCAGTAACTGTTTTCAGGCACTTTGCTCTTTGAATGCTTTTAGAAATAATTTAAGGACATCATTCATACATAAGCAGGTTAGTAAAGCTCATAGCAAGACTTAGTTTACGTAGTTAGCTGTGTACTTGAAACTGGTGTTTTGAAAAATTATACTTGGTTTTTATAAATTCAGACAAATCTTTCCTCACCTTTTCCAGTGGGGGGTCATAGGAATTCTTGTGGTAATATAATATTACCAGGATCACATTGTCCCCAAAAGTCTGACATAAATTGGGACTTGGAAATTTAGATTGTGGACCACCTGGTAAGTCAGAGCTTTAATTAAATTCATCAGTTTCTTAATAACTAGCCTATCAAATAGGTGGACTCTAGGAGTAGTTGCTGTCAGGTTGCTTCTAATCCACGGCGACTCCATGTATATTGGAGTAGGACTGTGCTCTGTGGGGTTTTCAGTGGCTGGTTTTTTGGAAGTAAATCACCAGGACTTTCTTTCGAGGCACTTTCGAGTGGACCCGAACCCTTCAACCTGTTAGCGCATTAACTGTTTGCACCACTTAGCAACTCCAGATGGCCTCTGACTTTTAAAAATTAAGCTTTTTTCTTTATTTTTGGTCAAGACTTTAGTGAAATCATTTCTCCCCTTTTTTCCTTGCCATTAACTCTGACTTTTTCACTCTTTCAGTTTTGCCTCCAGTATTAGTGCCCCGGCACACTGAGATCCTAACAGAACTTCCGCCTCTGGATGACTATGCTCACTCCATCCCTGAAAACACTAATTTTCCAGCAGGAATTGAGCCACAGAGTAATTACATCCCAGGTATTTTTTTGGCTTCTGAGTCACCTAGAGCTTGGGTAGATACAATTTTGTTCCTGAACAGTCAGGTCTTAGTAGATTGAGGTTTGACTTCATAAAAGAAAGAAAAGCTCTGCTGGATTTTTAATAGACGTCTGATTTGTTGGGTGACTGTTCTGTGAAATGAGTATGCTTAGTACTTTAAACTTTTTGTCTTAAGAAAAGTTTTACTTTATATTTCATTTTCTTTTGCAGTGGCTTTAATCAAAGTACTGTGAGAAGCAGAAAAGAACAGATCTTAGTAAGTTTGTCTTAGTTGTTGAAGCTGAGAGATACACAGAATGTCAGCACAGTGAATGATACAGGAAAAAAGTGTTTCTGAAACAAACGTAATGAACAATCGACCAAATTATCACCTTTTCTTACATCGTTTCATTATATTTAAGAGAAATATGGTATTTCTATAGGAGGTTAAATACAGTATTTTAGTTGTATAGATGTAGCCACACTTAAATGTTGGACTGCAAATCAGAAACTGTGTGGTTTCAGTCTGTTTCATCTGGGCCTCGGGAATTCCTCACGAAAACCGAATGTTTTAACTAAATGGTTCTGAGATTCCTCTTCAGACTCTTACATGATATGATCCAGTAATACTCCATGATTTAGAAGCTGCCCTTTTCCTTTTCACTATTTTTAGGAGAGTAACCAATATTTTTTTACTTTTTTGTCTCCCCCATTTCTTTTTCCTAATAGAAACTAAAGGTATGATATTAAAGATGAAAATTAAGCTATAAATTAGAGTTTTTTAGTGTTAATTTTTTTCTCCCATTCTAATGTTCCCCTATTTCATTCTTATTTTTATTTTATAAACGTGAAAATATGTAAGGAACATAGAATTTCAAGTACTTTAAATAAATATTTTGCTCCCCGCCAGGTAGCCTGGCCGTCTCTTTAGGAGCTCTGGTAGCATAGTGGCTAAAGCACTTGACTGCTAACCAGAAGGCTGGCGGTTCAAACCCACCAGCCACTCCTCGGAAGGAAGGTTGGGCAATCCTACTTCGTAGTGATACTGCCTCGGAAATCCAAGGAGGGGTCGCTATGAGTCAAGGCCGACTCAACGGCACATAACAACAACAACAACATGTGTCATCATGGAAATAATGTTTATTGTTGAAGACAATTTCAGAAACATAGGAAAAGAAAGTATGTTTTACAATAACTACTTTTATTACAGGTGAACAGTGGTCTCTGGTGGTTTCCCTATGCATTTCTTTGATTACAATTTTATGCTGAAAGAGGATTTAAGGCTGCTTTTTTAATTGCTAGGAAGCAAAACTTTCTGACAGTTTAAAAGGAAACGTGTGATAGATGAGGGAAAAAAACAGGACATTTCCTAGGAAGAAGCATGTGGCCTTTCTTCGTAGAGTTGGAGTTATGTGTGTGTGTTGTGGAGTGAGGAGCACGTTAGTGTTCTTCAAGTGGGAGTTAGTGTTGCTCATTAATACATGGGAACTCAGGTGTAAGCACACAGTCTTATAAGACATACCCGGTAATGATTTGGAAGGATGTTAATCAAATGTTCAGTGGCTTTCACTTGCGGAAGTGTTTGTGCAGGTTTTCCCTTCTTTATTCTTTATTTGTTTAGCTTTGGGTATTTTACAAAATAAAATATCACAAGTTGATTATACCTGTTTGCTTTTCTGGACAATTTAGCTATGAACTCCAAACTCAATGATGGAGAAAAAGTTTTAACACATCATAAATAATATACACATCAAAGCTTTGAAAACAGTTGTTATGCAATAAAACACATAATCCACCAGAACTACCAGTAGATCACAGTGAGGCAGCTTGTGATGGTGTTGTATTTGTACTGTACCAACTAGACAGCAAGACCTAAGTATTCATTTATTATTCCATTTCAAAAGAAATTTTAACCTTTTCTGCACAATGCTTAATGGATCATCATTTATTATTGTAGCTAAATACAAAGATAGAGTCTTTTGAAGTTCAATATTTCTATTTAGACCTTTGCAGCATTGGTATTTAACTAACAAAACTTACCTCTGCTTAATTTTATTAGCTTTAGCATTTAACATAATACACAGTGGTATGTATTATCATTCTTGTTTTTGGGTTCTTTATTGTTTGAGTATGTGAAGGCATTTTATTTTATTCTCAAAAATTCAGTATTAAAAATTTTAGAATTTAAAGTGTTGTAGCCTCTGTGGCAAACAATTAGACAGTTCCTGAGAAAGTTGAACATAAAATCAGGTGATCCAGCAATTTCACTTCTAGGTATTACACACACAAGACCTGAAAGCAGGACTGGGAGGTACAAGTACCCCAGTGTTTACTGCAGCATTGTTCACAATAGCCAAAAGGTGGAATCAACCCAAATGTCCATCAACAGATGAATGGATAAACAAAATGAGTATACATACAGTGGGATGTTATTCAGCTATAAAGACAAAGGGAGCTCTGGTGGCATAGTTCCTAAGGCATTTGACTGCCAACCAGAAGGCTGGTGGTTCAAACCCACCAGCCGCTCCTCGGAAGGAAGACTGGGCAATCTACTTCAATAGAGATACCACCTCCAAAATCCAAGGGGAGGGGTCGCTGTGAGTCAGACCCAACTCGATGGCAGAGATTTTTTTTAATATAAAGACAAATGAAATTCTAATAAAGGAAATAACATTTATGAACCTTGAAAACCTGGTGATTGAAATAAGTCAGACACAAAAGGACAAATCCTTTTGATAAATCCCATTTAGTACGAGATACCTAGAATAGGCAAATGCTACGAAATCAAAGTTTATTAGTGGCTACCTAGGGCTGAAAGAAAGGGAAAATGAATTGTTACTAAAGGATATGTACTAAGTTTCTGTTAAGAAACTCTGGCAGTGCAGTGGTTAAATGGTCAGCTGCTAACCGAAAGGTCAGCAGTTTGAACCCACAAGCCATTCCACGGGAGAAAGATTTGACAGTGTACTTTCTTAGAGATTACAGCCTTGGAAGCCCGATGGGGCAGTCCTGCTCTGTCCTGTAGGGTCTCTGTGAGTCAGAATTGACTCACTGGCAACAGGTTTTAAATATATATTAAACCACAATAAAATTAAAGAAAATTTGGGTGTGGAGCTCTGTCTAACAGAAAACTTTGATCCTTAGGTTATAATTTATGGATAGTTTATGGAAGGGAGACTATAAAGAGTAGTGAATGTAGAGACTTAGCCCACTTTTTCTCTCCCCTCATTGCTAAGTGCAGAATTATTTTTAGGTATGTGTCTGCATTACCTTAAATTGCTTAACACTGTCTAACAATGTAAATATTGAAAATTATTTGAACTTTTTTACTGCCTTGAAATTATAATTGGTAGAGAGGAAGAAATATTGTCTGAATATTTTTATTATACATGAAGCTTATTCAAATGCCTCCTTAATAAACATTTTGTTCATACAGTATGTTGGAAATGGCACATTTGAATCCTAATACTTATTTTAGGGGGTATTTTGCCTGTTTTGTGCAGTAGTCTGTGTTTGAATTTAATTTCCTGCTTCAAACATTAAGTGTTCACTAGTTCGAAATCCCTGAGAAAATACACTTTTTAGGAGAATTCAGGCTAAACTAGTCCTGAGCCATTTTATCATATTTTACCCAATAAAACTTAGTGGAAGATAACACTTGTCACTATCACTTTCATGATCTGAAATCGCATGAGCGCATGCACGTGCACACACGTGTGTGTTTCTTGGGTCTCCATCTGCAAAGTCCATTAGTTTAAAAAAAAGAAATTGTATGTTCTAATGTCTCTGAAGCATACTGATTCAGAACTGAGGCGTCTTTGAAATTATGCTTTTGGCTCTTGCCCCAGAAAATGTACATATGGGAATTGGCCAGATATGTAAATGATAGCTAAGAAAATATGTTTAGAGAGTTTGATTATAATGTAAGTAGGCTTTAATGATTCACCTATAAGATTTGGATTGGAACCTGAATCAGAAGCCCTTAGTGTGCAATACTGCTTTTTATGATAATATTCTATATAACATTATTGTTTGCCATTTGGAACGTTTGGTTGGTTATCTTTGATAGCTGAGATAAAAGGTGGTGAGATTAATTATACCCGATTTTGTTTTAAACTTTTGTAGAGACACCACCTCCTGGATATATTAGTGAAGATGGAGAAACAAGTGATCAACAGTTGAACCAAAGTATGGACACAGGTAAACATATTCAGAATTCTTCAGTAATTAGATATACATTTCTTGCCTTGTTAGAAACTCACAAGAGATAATTACTGGTAAATAGAGTGAGTGAGAACCGTCCCCCACACACAATATTTTATCTTAATCTAATCATATCTTAACCATTAATTACTCAAGTCCATTAGTTAAACAACATTATGGGTACTATATGTTGCCATTGAAAAAGTAGCATTTGTTATGTGAAATGTTAGATTTTTCTTTTGGTAGAGTAAATACAGAATTAAGAACACGCAGATGATTTTATTTTTAAGTATGTTATACTTCTTTTAAAGTCTTAATTATTCTACTAATATATACTCCTTTGTGATAAAAGACTGTAGTTACCCAGTGACAGATTTTCAGATGAATTTCAGGATAAGGATTGCTTTCCAGTGCTGCTTTAACTTAATGGTGTATTCTGAATCATAGAAGTTTTACACACAATACCTTGTTTCATTTATCGATAAAACTTTCCTTTCTCTGTTCATTTGCCTTGGCTCCTTTGTTGAAAATCAAGTGATAATGTACATATGGGTCTAACTTTTAGTTTGCTGGTAAGCCCTTTTAATGAATTCTTCATTTTAGATTTTTCTGTTTTTCAGTTTTACAATTTCCATTTTGAAGTCTTTATCTGCTAATTCTGGTCTCTGACTCAGGTGTATGTCTGGTTCTGTTGGCTATTTGCTCTCTTGATTATAGGTCAGTCTTTTTCCTATTTTGTAATTAGATACTAGATACTGTATATAAGTGAGTGGAGAGTAATATAGGTATTATTTTCTGTCAGAAAAATTCGCTTTTTTCTTTTTCTGCCTGCCACATTGAGGAGCTAATCTCTTTGAACTAATGAAAAGTTGAGCTGATTGGGTTGTGTTAGTTAATGTCAAATCACCTCAGTTTTCAGGGAGGTTCCGCTTCCTACCACAGCAGGCCTTTCAGATACGGGCGTGCTGATGCTGCAGGATATCTCACTGCTCTCCAGCTTTACCCAGAACTTCTTGTGCTACCGGGTATGTGGCTGAAGGCCTGTGGGTTAGAATCGGCCAGTGAAGCAGAAGGCTCTGTGCTTGGGACTCCTCAAATTGTAATTGCACCTGTGTGGGTATTAATGTTTTACTCGATTTCTCTTTTTGTAAACCCAGTCCTTAGTTTCTGTGTGTCCTGAATTGGCATGTGCTCTCCTCATAAGGAAAGTGATTGCTTGCTGTTCTCTTTTGCTTACCTAGGAAGAGCTCATCCCTCTCTAAATTAGTTCATTTATAATTATTTATATGTGTAATTCTTTGATAATCTTACAGAAACATGATTTTTCAGTTTCTCTGGTGTTTTCTTACTGTAAGGGCAGTAGTAAGGGCTTCACCAGTCTTCTACCTTCTAACCTACGAGTTCTTCAAAAGAGAAAGAAAGAAAATGAACTTTTCCTTCTCATTACGGATAGAATTCATGCTCATAGAAAATTTGGAAATGCATAGAACATGAAAAGAAAAATGATCATGTATTATATATTTCTTAAGCTGGATTTTTTCACTTGTCTTCCATTCTTTTTGAAGATTCCTTTATAGAACATACTACATACAATGCTATATATCCTTTTTTAATTTTTACTTTCTGGCTTAATGTCACATTTTTACCATTATTCTATGCCAAATAAAAAGGTAAAGAGTATTTTACAAGTAAAATTAGGATATTTTGAATTACACAAGAAATTAATTCATTATTTAAAAAAAAATAAAATTTAAACAGTGCATGTAATTATATCTCTTAGCAATAATTACACTTTACTTTGGGAAGCTTCCACATTTACCAAACAAAACCTAACACTGCAATGCACATCATAGAAAAACAGATAAAAAGTGACAGAGGCATTCACAGCCAGCACGTCAGACTCTGGAGAAGCTCTTCTGACTACCTCTCTGGAGCGCCTTGTTTCAGACGGCAGCCAGAAAGGAGCTATGCAGCTCCATCTCAGGTGGGACTCAGTTGGTGATCAGATAGGGGTAAGGCGAAGGAATAGCCCAGCATCATTTCCCGTTTTCTGTGAGGTTTATGAAATTGGTCTGTACTCAGTACATTACGTATTGTAAAACATGTATATAAAGCCATTTTAGGTATAAAAACAAAACAATAGATAGTTTTAGTCCTTCAGGATTATCACAATAATATGAAAGCAGGTAAAGTTAAATGATTTTGAAGCCTTTCACTTTATTGCCCTGTTACCATATGTACCTTTTCAAAAATAAAAGTCTTTATTTTTTCATTTGAATGATGCTTATTTCTGGTTGGGTTAGTATGCTAAAAAGTTACAGGGCAATGTATGTCTTTAATATTAAGTTAGCTCAGGAAATTCAAATTAATTTTAATATCCCTTCCAACAAATGATAGAATAAATCTTAAACATGTAAGTCATCTCATACTAAAATGAATTCCATTTGGAGCAAATACTTAAATGTCAAAAATGAAACCCTACAGTTTCTAGGACATGACATTAAAGGTTTTTTTTTTTTTTTTGAAATTAGAACAAGGAATACACAAAACAGAGTATCATAGGAGAAAAAGAAATTTAAATAATATTTAAAATGTTACCTGGAAAGATGTACCAAAGTAAACCAAGAAACTGGGGAAAATATTTGCAAGTGCATGACAACTCTAATAACTGATTTCTATATTTCAAATCTCATGTAAAAATCAAGAAGAAAAACATAACAGCTAATAGAAAGATGTACAAAAGGAACATGAATACACTGTTTATAATAAAAACGATACGAGTTACGATTTTAAAGCTGTCAGGTTCATGGATGTTACCCTGTTTGATAGCAGATGTAGAATCGCTGCAGAGAGCACTAGTTTATAAGGTGGTGGTGCTGAGCGCTCCTGGAGGGTGCGTGGGTGATATTGATGAAAGTCAGCACTCACATGGCTTTTGATCTAACATTTCTTCTTTAAGAAACATATCCTACAAAAGATAATGCATGCAGGATTTCTCTAGAAGTTTGAGCTGCAGGTCATAGAAACCGCTGATCCAAGCAGGCTTTAAAAGGAGGGTATTTATTACCTCTCGTAACTGAAAGTCTCATGGTACACCAGACTTCAGTAGCAGCATTATATATGAATAATTAATAGGTTATAAATTCCTTGTCTCTATTTTTAAAAAATGTTTTCTAAAAGTTTTTGTTACCTAATAGGTTAATTTAATTTTAAATTTTATATATGATTATAATGAACCTTTTTTTATAATTTATAATTCAAATTTTTATCATATTTCACTGAATTCCTCTTACTCTAAACTAATGAATTATGACCTGACTGGTTTTGCTGGTCACTTCTGATAAGTATTTAATGGAGATGTAAACAGTTTAAAAACATGAATAATTTGAGTTAAGTCCTACAAATAATTGGGCAATTTCCTCCATTTTGAATAGTGGCTTTGTTTATTTTATATCTGCTTCAGGAAACAGAATTTTAGTTCATTGTTCTAAGTATATTTTGACCTTTCTTAGTTGTACCTGATGAGACTTGCCAACAGATTTTTCAGAGTGAGGAGCAAAAAACTAATTGTGCAGTGGAACACTGTTGTGTCTTCTAAAAAGTAGTTATCACCTGTTCTCTGTTTTTGATTTATCTGTTTACCTAGAGGCTGCCATCTCACCTTTGTTGCCTGTCACTTTATATCGTGGTTAGATAGTGTATAATGGTGTGTGTCTTCTGTGTCTGTGGTGGGTCCTTCTTTTTCTTATTTTGTGTGTCTGTGATCCCTCTTGCCTTACCTTCTTGATTAGATTATCTGGTTTAAGTAAACCTGTAAGGAATTTTTAAAGAAAATGTAATTTCCCAAAGCTGGCCCCAAAAGATATCTTAACAGTCAACTTTCATCACATAAAAGGTTGTTTTTGGTTTATTTTTTTAATGGTACATGGTCAAAATTATGACTAAACAGTCCTAAGACCAAATATTTACAACCCTGAAAGGACTAGTATACTTAATATATAAAGAGCCTTCTACAAACCAGTAAGAGAAAAGGTCAACACCACAATAGAAAAATGAGCAAAGGAGCAGACTAGTCACAGAGAGGAAATATGGTTCAAATAACTGTAAAGCTGTGTAATCTCACCTATAAAAGAAATTCTGGAACACTTAATTGTGCTCATGAGGAACCTGTACATAGACCAGGAATGGCTGTTGTTTGAACAGAGCAAAGGGACACTGCATGATTTAAAATCAAAAAGGGACAGTGCGTCAGGGTTGTATCCTTCCCCATGCTTGTCTGTACGCTGAGCAAATAATCCGAGAAGCTGTACTATATGAAGAACGTGGCATCAGGATTGGAGGAAGACTCATTAACAATCTGCAATATACTGATGACACAACTTTGCTTGCTGCAAGTGAGGATGACTTGAAGGACTTACTGATGAAGATTAAAGACTACAGTCTGCAGTATGGATTAGACCTCAATATAAAGAAAACAAAAATCCTCACAACTGGACCAATAATCAGGATCACGATAAATGGAGAAAAAATTGAAGTTGTCAGAGACTTCATATTACTTGGTTCAACTATCAACTCCAATGGAAGTGGCAGTCAAGATATCAGATGATGTATAGCACTGGGCAAATCAGCTGTGAAGGACCTCTTTCAGGTGCTGAAGAGCAAACATATCTCTGAAGACTAAGATGCACCTGACACAAGCCATGGTATTTTCAGTCGCCTCATATGCATGTTAAGAGCTGGACAATGAATAAGGAAGACAGAAGAGTCAGTGCTTTTGCGTTGTGGTGTTGGCAAAGAATGGTCAAAGTACCATGGACTGCTAAGAGGACTAACATCTGTCCTGGAAGAAGTGCGGCTGGAATGCTCCTTGGAAGCGAGAACAGTAAAGCTTCATCTCACCTACTTTGGTCATGTTGTAAGAAGGGACCGTTCCCAGGAGAAGGACATCATACTCAGTAAAGTGGAGGGTCAGCGAAAAAGGGGAAGGCCTTCAACATCAGTGGCTGCAACGATGGACTCAGTCAGGTGTAGCAGGGATCATGGAGCTGGTGCAGAACTGGGCATTGTGTTTCGTTCAGCTATATGTAGGGTCGCTGTGAGTCAGAGATGACTCGATGGCACCTAACTAGAACAACGAGAAATTAAAATTAAAACTATGCTTACTGAGAGATCATGATTTATTTCATGTTTCAACAAGAACAAACAAGCATCCCTACCCCACTTGCATAGTGCCTAAGGCATTTGACTGCTAACCAGAAGGCTGGTGGTTGAAACACACTAGCCACTCCTCCTCAGGAAGATTGGGCAGTGTATTTTCATAGTGATACCGCCTCAGAAACCCAAGGAGGGGTTGCACTATTTGTCAGATCCAACTCGACAACAGTGAGTTTGGTTTTTTTCCTTCTATGGGTGAGTTTTTACGGAGTCTATCAATTGCATGTAATGGTGGTACGAGAGGTTTCCAGCAGGGAGACAAACTTGTCTGTCAGAGTGTCCTACCGTGGTGATGTGTTGATACAAGTTTTTGAGTTATGAGGCTGAGCCACTGGTGTTTCAAACCCAGTGGGATGCACATGGTGCACAGGTTATCAGCCCAGCTTACAGACTGAGACAGACTAGGAAGAAGGAAGAGGTCGTCCACTTCTCAAAGAATTGGCCAGGGAAAACCTTATGAGTAGCAAAGAAGCACTATTTGATACATTACTGCACAACTTTATGATTAGTTTGGTTAGGCTTGAGAAGACTCTCAATATAGGACTGGGAAAGAGCTGCATCATCTGAGTAAACCCAACCTTATTCCTATGGATAAGGTAAAGCTTTCAAGACCTCCATTTGCTGATGTGGCACCACTCAAATTGAAGAGGAACAGCTGCAGACATCCGTTAATCATAGGAACATGGAACGTACGAGGTATGAATCGAGAAAAATTGGAAGTTGTAAAAATGAAATGGAATGCATAAAGATTGATATCCT